AGAAAAATCTCAAATTTTACGAACACGCCAAGAGACACACGAACGTCCTACAATTTGAATCAATTCAAAATTCGTCTGTTTAATCACATTTTGCTCCAGAGAATGTCCTACATTGACAATATAAAGCAGAGTATCAAAATTCTACCAAAATAATTACCAAATTATACTAAGAATAGGATAGAATATATAATATATTATTGACTCATTATTTTGGTTTGGTAAACAAATAAGATATGCCTCTAGGAAGGCCAGAGCTGATACTAGAAAACGCGTCAAAGGAAGACTTATTCAAGATGGCGAAGAATATGATTACGATCCCCTTGTGACAAGTCAGTAGAAAAACTCTCTCTTCTTCAGCTGCAAGGCAAGGCCTTATTGGCTAAAATAGTCCACCTGCCTCCGTGCTCGCATCACGTTCCTAGTACTGAGATGACTGTGTTTCCTTAATCATAGAACAATAAGCCCCACTTTTTTTCTTTGAATTTTCTTTCATTGCATATATTTTCTGAACTCAATCATGTTTTCAATAATGATTCTTTTGAGTCACCATTTAGTTCAATTACACAAATCATTCATTTGTTTCTAAATGAAGCCTTACGTTCACAACAATTAGGAACATCTGATAACTTATTGGATCAAATTAGTATGGTAACTGACTATATGCTATATATTCAGCCAAAGAATTTAGCGAAGAACTTCGCAAATCCTAAACCTTAAGAACAACGTACATTTGCTGCAAACATCCCTCACAACAACTTACATATTTTGCAGCAATGGTAATTTCCAAACTACTGTGAGACAGTGGCATACTATACCAATTGTGCGTATCGAATATCAGGATGGCGAACTAAAAACTTCTCATCTAAGCCGTTATCCACGCTTAGTTTCTTAAATGTAAGACATCTTAAGTACCAAGTCAACTTTGCACTTTAGAAAATAACAGGGCACAGCCTTGCCATAACGGGCTACTCATTGTAGAGCATGATCATATATAATGTTCAAGAATGAGAAAGTTGCGAGGACTGCAACGAAAAATACCGCAAAAATATGAACTTGTAAGTAGTAACATGTTACATGTTTAATTTATATGCAAACTTAAGATCAGTATCCACCAAATCCACGTTACATGTTTATACATGTAAAGCCGCCACCATTGACTATTAAAATTGGTGCGTACGTTAACTAATCCAGTCTCACATTTATTTGAATATGACGGTCACATTGTTAAATGATGTTACCAATTTGCATTTCATATATAATATGAGATTGAGAAAAGTAAAAATTTATGAGCTTAGAGTATAAATCTCTAATAGTAAATAGATTCACATCCCTCTTTTTGCTACTCCATTGATTAAAGCCTTATTCCTTTTCAATTTTTGATCAAAGTCATTTGGTATTAATAAACACCATTAATTATTTCAATAATAAAATATTTTTTATTTTTGAATATATTCATTTAGTGATAGAAATGTTACATTTGGTATATTTATATTTATGGATAAATTTTTTATATATTTTTATTTTTAGTTTGTACCCATTTTTAATTTGCAACCCTTTTTCAATTTGTACCAATTTTCTTTTCTGTTTTAATTTGTACCAATATATTAATTTCTTTTTGTGCCCATATTTTTTAAGGTTTAATTTGTATTTGTACCCATATTTTTAATTTATTTGTACCCATTTTAAATTTTGCTAAATGTACCCATGCTAATTATATGTATTTATTTTATGTTTTAAAATGTATTAGTAGTTATTGTTTAAAATATGTTAGTAATTATGTGGGTACATTATTTCTTACTATAATTTTGTGAAGAACAATATTACTCTAATATTTATTTTTAAGTATTTATTATATTTAAAAAATATTATTTAAATTTGTTTAAATTTCATGATTTATGGGATGTTAAATGCATAAATGCATGAGTTAAATATCTTAAATGATGTTAAGGACCTCAATCAAAATATTTAAACTAACAAGGTTTCAGTCTAACAATTAGGTTGATTAGGGACCACCATCAAAATGAAAATTAGGTTCTCATCCTTTTTTTTTTCAACTCTATTGATTGAAACCTTATTCATTTTCAATTTTTAATCAAGGTCCCTTGGTTTTAATAAACATCATTAATTATTTCAACAATTAAATATTTTACATGTCAAGATAATTAAATTTTATTTCAAATTATTCATTTAGTGTTTAGAAACGTTACATTTGTTATATTTATATTTGTGGTTAAATTTTGTATCATATATTTTTATTTTTAGTTTGTACCCATTTTAATTTACAACACTTTTTTTTTTTTAAATTGTGCCAATTTTCTATTCAGTTTTAGTTTGTACCCATATATTAATTTCTTTTTGTGTCCATATTTTTCAAACTTTTATTTGTACTCATATTTTTTTGACCTTTTATTTGTACCCATAATTTATTAATAATGTTCCCATTTGTCTTTACCAATGTACCACTTTTGTTATATGTAAAATGTACCGAATGTTTTTTGGAAGTACCACCTCTTTTGTGTAAAATTTACCCATTGTTTTTTTATACGAAATGTACCCATTATATAAAACGTATCACCTTTTTTTTTTGTAAAAAATACCAATTTTTTATATGTAAAATGTCGTTAATATAAGTTATGACAAATCATAGGTTTTATTTAAGTATAATTTCTTTTAATATTTTCTACAAATTATGGATTTTATTTAAAATCTCATTAATATAAATAACTACAAATATCAAAATTTAATTTAAAAATTATAATAACCTACATAGAAATGCATTATTGCATTAATTTCAGGGATTTTAATAAAAAACCAACAAAGTTTCAATCAAAGAACGTTGATAAATAGAGCCAGCATCCAAAGTCACCCTTAAAGAAATTAATGATATAGCATCGCTTCCAAGCACATGTTAGTTGGATGGTGGACTATCTTCGTCACCATGCATTTTCTTATCTTGCAGAGGTCCACATAGTTGAAGTTGGGGCCTTGGGGGAGGCCTATAAATTTCAAACCACAGTTTTGTAATTGCAAATACTTTCAAATCAAGTTTCTTTCCTCCAAATTAATACAAGTTGAAGCTCAGTTGCAACAAAAAATGGGGTCGACTCGATTTTCTGGGATTCTGGTTTCATGTCTTCTGGTGATCATAGGCCTCAGTGAGGCTCAGTTGCAACTGGGTTTCTATGCCAAGAACTGCCCGAATGCAGAGAAGATTGTGAAAGACTACGTCGGGGAGCACATCCACAACGCACCCTCACTTGCAGCTGCTCTCCTAAGGTTGCACTTCCATGATTGCTTTGTCAGGGTATGTATCCATCTTCTTCTCTTTACAGACCAACATTCTCTGCAACTACAAGTGTATCATTAGGGTTAGAATTGTAATTTGGAACTAATGAATTATTTTTGCTTAATAGGGTTGTGATGCATCTGTTCTTCTGAACTCGACTTCAAGTAACCAAGCTGAAAAAGATGCTCCCCCAAATCTAAGCCTCAGAGGGTTTGACTTCATCGACAGAATAAAGAGCCAACTTGAAGCTCAATGCCCTGGAATAGTTTCATGCGCAGATGTTGTTGCTTTGGTAGCAAGAGATTCTATTGTTGCAACAGTAAGATCAACCATCAAAGTTTAAAAACCAAAATAATCAAACGTCCCAATTATTTATTGGATTTCAACTTCCTTTATTTATTTGTTTTATGGGCATGGTGTGTAGGGAGGTCCAACTTGGAAGGTTCCAACAGGTAGAAGAGATGGGATGATCGCAAGGAGTGCAGAAGCCATAGCCAACCTTCCACCCCCAACTTCCAACTTCAGCAATCTCCAAAGCCTTTTGCCAACGTGGGTCTTGATTGGAAGGACTTGGTCTTGCTATCTGGTAAAGCTAATTCTTAAACATAATAGTAAATATGCAAATAAAGGAAACGAATCTTCTTACCAAATAATTATCTTACCTGTTACATATGACTCACAATGTATACGTACGTGGTAATGTTCTCTTATCAGACCTATATTGATTATGAATCAAAATTACAAATTATAAACGATAATTAACTTAATTGAAATGTTAATTTACAATCAAACAACGTATACTACAAAAACAATATACAATAACTTTTAACATGCACAAATAAAATAGATAAAAACCTATGTAATACATTTGGCAACGAAATAATCAAATAGTGCCAGTAATGCTACCATATCTAATCACACCGTATGGGTTAATAATATGCTTGTTTTTCTTCTCAGGTGCTCACACAATTGGGATCTCTCATTGCTCGTCATTTTCAAACCGCCTTTACAATTTCACCGGAGTGGGTGACCAGGACCCCGATTTGAAAACCGAATACGCAGCGAAACTCAAGGCCAAGTGCAAAACTCCAACTGATAACACCACATTTGTTGAGATGGACCCTGGAAGCTTCAGGACTTTTGACCTAAGCTACTACACGCATTTGCTCAAAAGGCGAGGGCTCTTCCAATCCGATGCTGCTTTGAAAACCAGCCCAACAGCTTATAATTATATCAACCAGCTGCTCAAAGGTCCACTGCAGAACTTCTTCTATGAGTTTGGAAAGTCTATGGAGAAAATGGGTCGGGCTAACGTTAAGACTGGATCGGCTGGTGAGATTAGGAAGCAATGTTCAGTTGTGAATAGCTAGAAAATGATAATCTTTGGTTAATTTTCAGTCTCTTTCTTTTTTTTTTTTTTTTTTTTTTTTTTTTTTTTTTTGATGTGATGAAATTGATAATGATTGTAAACTACATGTTGTGCTTTTTGATATTATATTGTTTTGTGCGAATAAAATTAAGGATTAATATCAGTTTATTATCCTAAAGCTTATTGATTTTCAACATTTGATACATGAAATTTTTTTCATCCTAGATTGATACATAAAGTTATAATTTTAGGATATTTTCATACATCCGTTAAGATTGCTGTTAAATTTACTGTTAATTAATGATGTGACATATACGTGAACAATAGTATGCAACATGAACATTAAAAATTAAATAATAAAATAATAAACTTAAAAAATAAAAAAAACGTTTGGTCTTCCTCGCTCACCCCTTCCGAACCCCCCCCCCCCCTCTCTTTTTCCCTCCTCTGCACCCACCCTTCCCCCTCCCTCTTCTTCGACTCCACCGGTCCAACCCCAAAAAAACCCAATCCCAGATTTCCTTCGAAACCCTACAACAGCCTCGCCGTGAAGTCGCCGATCGCCCTCGTGAAATCGCCGTTCCCATCGGACAGCAGCAGCATTTCGTAGCCGATCACGAAGCAACCCAGCAAATTCCTTGAAGTCCTCGCCTAATAAGAAAAAACGGATTAACTATTTTATTCCTTCATAATGCTCACCCAATTAAAAATTAATTAATAAAAACAGAATATTTGAAATGCCAAAAATACAAAGGAAGCAAAACGAGGATCAGGAGAGCTTCTCTCTAATCAGAGTTCTTCTCTCTAATAAGAAAAAACTGTTTGGAAAATATTTTAGAGATTTAATTTAATTAGAGATTGGATATGATTTGATTTAATTAGGGATTTGATATGATTTGGTTTGGTTGGTTTAGGTTTCTTTGTCTTGATCTCTCCGTGAGTGAGAGAGATAAGATTTCGATTAAGGTCAGTGCCAGCCCTTCATTTTTTCTTCAGCCTTTCCACTCCAACTATCATTGATCTTCTTGTCCTAGATCTATTCATCCACCCATCCATCTACATGTCCTTCATCTAGCTTCCACCGATCCCATTTCCGTTTCGATCTGCAATCTCTATTGACTGCGAACTGTTGCGGTCTTTAATTGGGAATGTGCGTAGAGTTTCGGTGTTCACACCTGCTCGGTGGCCACACCGGCCACCTCCTTCTCTTTGTCTACCTTTTCTGGCAGTGTTGCTTGTGGTAATCCCACAGGCTTCTTTAGTTTCTCTCTATTTACGACCATGCCATTACTTTAATGAGTGGGCCATTGCGGAGGGTGAGAGGCCATGCCGCCTCCGGCTGTCGATGTCGTCAGAGGCATGGTTCACAGAGGGGTTGATGGGTTGCAAATAGAGAGAGGGTTGACGACGGAATTGCCTGTAACTCAGGCCGTTTCCTCAATAATTCCACTCCAGCTCCCCAAAACTTGGAAATCCAAGAGACTCCCGTTCTAGGAAATGCTTCAACGTCACTATATATGGAATCTGTGTGGGTCCGTAGCGTTTCGAGCTGGGAGACGACGGAATTGCCGTTATTGCTTCTGGAGTCACCTGCAATCTGAGTATGAATTGGCACCATTCTCACATTACTTGGATTGCTCCTGTTGTTGTTTCGGAGGAAGGTGGTGCTTCGGTTCAGGTGTGGATTAATTTTGCTTCGTTACCTTTCTTTTCTGGTTTAATTTTCTACAAACTGATAGGTGAAGTTTGTATGGATTTTATACTTGCAATTGGGTTTTAGCAATAAGGATGATTAAATAGAAATTAAGTTGCTTTATTGTACTTTATGCATGAATGGAGTTGGTTGGACATAACAAGTAGGAACACAATTGCCTGGTATGATTATGCTGTTGGGGCAGAAACTGATGGCTATATGTTTGATGTTGGGAAGATTTGGTGGTGAAGCTTTATAAGAAATTACGAATTGTTTATCAAAAGTTAAGGTTGTTTGCATGTAGGAGTTGTATAGAAAAATGAGGAAATTCTAATTAGATTTTGTCTGGGTTCAAGTTTTTGAAGAAAGTGGGTTTTCTTAAGAGAAGAGTAGACTTGATTTTGGTTTGGATATATTATTGTTGAAGCAAATGTCTATTACGGCATAATCGACCTAAGAAATGAAAATGAGAATTGAATGAGAAATTTTGAAAGTCATTGCAAACACAAGATTTCTATTTTGAGTTTAACAAAATGGTGATATATAATTGGTTTGATCTCCTTGGAGGATACGTAGGCAATCTAACTCGAATGTTAGATGCAGCCATAAGGTTAAATAAAATTAAATGGTGTATCATGTCTCCGAGTTTGGGATATGATATTTTTATGATCCGGTCTTAGTATAGGCTTTACCAAATTTATAAATTATGATTTATGATTTATGGCTTATGATTTACTACGATGACGATTTATAAATGTTGGATTCATTACCACTTAACTTTTTCTTCAACATATATGATGAATCCAATCCAGTCCAAGGTGTATACCTTGAATCTTATGAGTAATTCAATCCAATCTAATGTGAAGAACAAAACAAGCCTCATTGTGTCACCTCCCACATACATTCTAAAAACAGTTGAGCTTTTTCATGGTAGCCAACTTCCCGGAACTAAGTTTAAAAAGCAGCAGTTGCTATGATATGAGCTGAATTGAGCGTGTCCTTGACTTGACTTGACTTGCATCTCAGAAGCTTCTTTGAAATAAATGGAAATTATTTCTACGAATAATACTTCTTTAAAATAAATGCATTAATGACCCAAATGTATAAAATTACTGTTTCACAACTACTCCCCGGTCAAATGCTCATATCCATCCATAATCAGCAAATATTAAAAAATAGAACTGGATCATGATTCGCATTGAAAAATTATTAGTTTAATTTGCAAAGAATATTAAAGTATTTGCATCTCCGATTTGAACATAATGATGGAGGAAAAGCATTGAACAAAGAATGAAAACACGCATTGACCTGAGAAATCTTAAGAGTTGTTTACAAATTAATAATTAACTTTGCAGTGTGGATGGTTGGTGTTTTGTTATACTCTATACAAAGGCTCTTGATTGTTCCTAATGGTTTGCTCTTGCCTAATAATCAGGTGAACAAAAAGGTTTATGTGGATTTACGTGTTGGTGATGTCATCCGTTTTGGGTTGTGAGTATCTTCTTGTCTTAACTCTCACTCTGCAACGCGTTTCACGATTTCTTCGATCTCTGTTTCGTTATCTCTTCAATCTCTGCTTTGTGAACTCTTCAATCCCTGCTTTGCGATCTCTGTTGTTCACCCTGCCTTCTCATCTCCGTTGGTATTTCCACCAACCAATGAAGTGCCCGGAGTTTGAACATGAAATGCCCAGGAGGCCGCCCAGTGCATGGTAACTTATCTTTTTTTACTTTTCTGGGTGATGTTAATGTGGGTTTGACCTAATTACTGCAATTGATAAATTATTGGTTTTGGTTGATAGTTTACCTTGCGCTGGGTTTTAGTTGATGGGTTTTTCTTATGGGTTTTGCTTGCATTTGGTATTGGTTGATGGCAGGTATATTTGATCTCCGTTGCACACCTCGCCTTCTCATCGCCGTCGCACACTTCGGGTACGAGCTCTCTTTACACTCTGTTTATTTGTTCTAAAAGATTTTGTAAGTGATGTTTCAGCAATGTCATTGTAGTATTAATCCCTAAATGTATTTTGTTAATGTAAAGTTTATAGAATACAAATGCAAACTGAAACATGTTATGAACCCAACCGGCGCCGGAGAATCAACCAGAACCGGTAGCTATGAAAGTGAGAGAGAGTGATAGGATAGAGAGGGAACCAAAAGAGAAATATAAACTGATTTTTCCAAAAGTTGCCATTACAATAATTTCGGGAGTGTATATCCCACATGCCTGCAATAACCCAATACAAAAGTGCCACCTGGACAATGACTGACAATTACTGAAACCTTCTACTAAGTATTGGCCCATTACAATCGAACCCCATACTTTTAACCCCTTACAATTATGCCTTTAACTACCTTACAGTTTAGTCCTCACTACTATTAACTAAAATCTCACTGTGACTAAGGCAATCACGATTAGTTCATAACAAAACACTTATTTTTCCATGTGTATTCAGCTGCTTTGATTGGTTCCTCAATTATTTAGAGATCGGTGTGTTCAATTGTGGTTTTGCAGAATTTTTTGTATTAATTAGACGACAGTGATCCTGACATGGCAGATCCTCTTCTTGATGTTGCCTGTTCCTCGGTTTGAATTGATTGAATGGCGAATGACTGAAAAATACCGTCGCATCACCGCGGAAAATGAGCTGTCCAGTGTGAGCATAATCCATGGAGTTAATTTCACTGTCGAACATTTTATGAATGACTCTCCCAATTCTGAATTTGAAAACCTCAAATATAGATGTAGAACTTCCACCAATCAAATACAATCAATAAAATTGATATCCTTGCAACCCTATAACATTATTGGAATAAAAAGATAATTAGCTCATGTTTTAGGAAAAAGATATATAAAAATCGAAGTAGCAATAAAAACTTTTTGTGTGGGGATGTCTGATGAGATGTTCCAATATGATTGTAAATTTGTAATGCAATGCATGCGATGAATGACATATTGTTCATCTTATCAAGAGCAGTTAGATCTTTAGTTATAAAGTATGAATCCATATTCATATTAATTTGAGATCGAAGATGTTTTTTAAATTAAAAGAAAGAGTTATAAAGTAAAAATGGCTGCATGACCATTGGACCAGAGGACCACATACTCTAACAATATATGATGAAAAGTACTCATTGTTCTCTTTTTCGTTTTCTAATTGTTCCCTTTAAGGTATAATATGAAAATCTGATTTCAAAATCGTGTTTTTTTTCCTTCAGAGACAATTTGGGCTATAAGAGCACAATGCCAAGCTTCCTGTAAGCATGGGAAAAAACCAAGGCACAGTTACAAGCGAGGTAGTTCAATCTTTCATTTTCGTCTGCTATTAGTACTTCCTCTCCGAGTATTAGATTTCTTGCAATTTTACTTTTACAGTGCTCTTATAGTTTGCCATTTAGTTTCGAGATGCTTTTATTTCTTATTACATATGGGAGCAGTAGTTCATGTGTGTGAATTTTTGTTTCGCTGTGTTTGGGGTTCAAAAGTGAATGCATTACTCAGGGATGACTGCCAGCTTATCCCACTTATCTTTTACGTTTTCACTTTATTCATGTGCTGAATTATGGTTTCTCTCTAAATTGAAGAACTAAAAATGGCAAGCAAACTAAAAAGCAATTAGATTATGTAATGGGTACTTTGGTTTCTCATCATTTCTTTGTTTTGTAATTTTCATTTATTCATGTTCTTTTGATAGCGAATTCAATTGTATTTTTGGTTTTCCCTGCTTCGTTTATTTATGCTTGCGTGTTCTTTTGTATGCCAAGCTATGCATGAAGATTTGTTGTTGTTCTCAACTAAGAGATATAATTTCATGGATTATGTTTTTAAAGTCATACAAAATATATCTTGAGGATAAAATGTATTTGGCGGTACCTGTTTTCACTACAAATAGGATGCATCTTTTTTTATAAAAGAAAAGAATGGTGAGTTGCCAAAATTTAATTCATCATCTTGATTTCTTTCATGATGCTTTTTCTTTTATTTTATTTGAAATTGAACATCAAGTACATGCCAAATGGTGTGAGAATGGAAACTGATGAGGCCTGCAATTGGTGTATTGATAGCAGGGATAACTAAGTATTATCATTGGGGATGGCTGCCCAAAAAGGGCGGTCTGCAAACCCCATTGCCCCTGTATCTTAAAGTTTTCCTCTTTCTTCTTTCCTCCTCATTTGGGTGCATATATTTTTGGCTAATTGCCATTTTTTAATTACTTACCGGTACTTTAGTTTTCAATCTAGGCCATTCAGTCAATTGCTTACGTGAAAGGAGAGTTTATGCCCATGCTTGCTGCCCTATTTCTGCGGGTTCTTTGCTTACGTGAGAGGAGAGAGCGAGATCTGCAGAGAAAGAGAGGGAGTTCGAAATTTGAGGATTTCTTTTTGTTTTGGTTTGTGTGCGACTGATTGAGAGAGGAGGTGGCTCCATGGGTTTTCTAGGAAAGCTTTGGGTTTTTGGGTTTTTGTAGATTCACAACGGAGGTGTAAAATTGAGAGATAACCGACATAACTTTTCGTGTCGATTCCCACAGACGGCGCCAAATGTTGATGCACAAAACCGGAGGTCTTGGAACAACGTAAATCTGACCGAGAATCTGCATGAAATGTAAACAACACAAGATGTATTGTGGTTCACCCCAATATTTGGGCTACGTCCACATTGATTATTGTATTTCTCTGAGAGAATTGTGAGGGAGAGAGAGATTCTCTGTGAGGATGAGAGCTCTGAGAGGGTGAGGGTATGGCCTTAGAATTGGCCTCTCCTAATTGTGAGGGTGAGGAGTCATTTTATAGAAGAATGGCTCCTCACTTATTACATAATTGCCCATTCCTTTATTACATAATTACATTTAAGTCCTCCGAGTATTTGTACGAGATCTAAATACAGAGGCCCTAAGTATGGTATAAACACTATTAGTTTTATAAAATATGACAAGTTGATATACATGTTTACTCTAGACAAATGAAACTAAATGTGATTTTGCAAGGTTGCTTTGATTGCTGCCAATTTGATTTTGAAAACAATCTCCACCGTTGTCTTGCATATGATCTTAAATGCTAACTCTGTAGCCATGAATGTGCTATACTTACTGTTAACGTGATTCTTAAACCATCTGTAGGACACATATTTTGGCATCTTAATTACAAGAGCAAAATATGTGTGAATTGCATGTTTCTTCTGTTTCTTATGGAAACAAAACTTTTTTGGCAACCATGTCTTTGTGATCAAGAACGTTCAGTTTCTTCCTACTAATTGTGCAATGTCTTTACATGTCAGCTCAGTTGAATGTATATAAAAGCCAAACTACTTATCTTATCAACCTCATTCACTCATGTGTCCCTCTGTTCATTTATGATTGTGTTGAATTTATTCAGGTTAAATGTGTCTTATTCATGCAGTTACGTCTGAAACAATTGGTTCCCGCCGTAACGTGTGGGCTTATTTTCTAGTAACTCTCTATACGTGAGTTATGAGTATGATCATCATCTGAAACTGGTTTTACTTATGACCATTTCTTAGTAAAAATCTGCTCCAACTAATAATTTTAGCATAACCGGATGATTAATTAGGATGATTTTGAAGGATGCTAGCAGGTATGCAGAAGACGGAGCTTGCATAGCCATGATAGTTACAATAATCAATACCTAGGAAGCATTATGTCAGTGACCTTGGTTCTCAAATCATTATATTTGAGATTACAATGACATTAATAAGAAGTTAAAGTTAATGACCTGACTAAAACTTTGGAAGCATTATCTCAGTATCCTTGTTCTCAAGTCATTTAAAGAAAAGGTGACTTCACATTACCTAAACTCCCTCTTCAATACCTCAGAGACTGCATTGGTTCTCTATCGGTTTCTATCTACCCGACTTTTGGCATTTGATTCGCACCGGTTTCTATCCACCCGACTAAGAATGGTTGGAAGCATCACCTTCACTGCAATTCCGACGACATATCTTTGAGTAAGATTCTGGCATGTGTTACACAATAAACACCTGGCATGCCTGAGTGCCAAGAAATTAGCCCCATGAACCCATCGGTCACATTTCCTACACAAAAATGCATCGTCTGCTAGGCAATACAATGAAGCCCTTGAGTTGCACAGTTCACAGCAAACCAACCCTCCTGAAGGAATGAGAATTGGTGACTGCCAGAAGCCACTCTCTTGTACTCCTCTGCACATTTTAGAATCTCAAAAATTATATTGTATGACAATGGCCAAGAAGTTGGAACCAAAGAGAGCCATTTATAAGGACCGTTTGGGTTGGGATGTCAATACGGTCGAATTACAGCGGATGAAGATGAATTATGTCCAGGATTCAAGTCTTCAATGACAACCATGCGTGCTCGACTGCATGACAAATGTCTCATTGTTATTCCTTTTCTTAAGTTCCACCTTTCCAATTTTTTTATTTTTTCTTTCTAATTTAAACTTGTGATTCAGAAAAAAACTTGGTCTATAATTATTTATAAAATAGGTCCTATTAAATTAATAAGTTGACCACTAGTTTTGACAAATAGAAACCACTAATTTGAAAAAAAAGAAGATAACATGATTAAGCTAGAAGTAAGCTTTATGAGATGACTTGGTGCAAGATTTTGGGCCATAATTTTCTTGGTGAGTAGTTAACCGGTCAATTTTGATCACTAGAGAAGAAAGCTTTCGTTTGTAATTGTATGGCCAAGAATTAAAGCCTTCTTCAAATTGGGATTCATAGAGCTTGTATGCATGTAGAAGATGTCCTAGTCCACATATTGTTTATTGGGTTGACACGTTAAAGCATTAGTTGCAGACCACTAAATACACTATTTAGAGCATTGGTTACAAAATATTAAGATAAGAGGTTATGGACATTATTGTTTATCCACATTCCATACATTTACAATCAGATGACATTTTTATATATATATAAAATTACCATTTAACGGTGAAGTATCGAACGAACTCGTTTGAAAGTGTTTTTAAAATGGTTGAATGAGATTTTGGTGAAAATATTTTTTGACTCAATACTTGGTGAAAATGCAAGTAAATCTTGGAAAAACACTTAAATTGTTTCTTAGAAGAAGCACATAATTGATGCTTCTTGCAAAAAACACTTCAAGTGCTTTTGAAATCCAAAAACATTTTCTCTAAAAACGCTTTTAGTTATTTTAAAACCACTGTCAAATGAGCCCTTATAAGTTTATTAAGGTCAAATTTAAATATATAGAAATATTAGAGAAAACTAAGCATTGAAATAGAATGGTAAGCTAATGTAACCAGTTCTTGTTTGATTGAAATGCTTATCTTCTTTACTTTCCAAATTGCATTTGTCACCTCCATATTCATACTCTTGATGAAAATGTTTCAATAATGGTTGAAACTAAATGGAAACTTATCTAGTGTTCTCACTACCAAGGTATTAAATATCGGTAATATCGGAAATATCGGTAGTCCAGAAACACGGAAATATCGATGGAAATATCGGGATATTATCGATATCGATAAAAATAATATGGAAACCACGGAAATTGTAAGAAAAACTGGAAATTTTTATTGAAACTTTGTAGGATATTTATTTAGTCAATTATCTATTAGTTTATCACAAAAAATTGGAAGGAAATGCATTGCATGATTGATTTAACTGATTTAAGTTGATTATATAGCGAGCTGGCAAACATTGTGAGTGTAGAAAATATGTAGTAATTAATGAAAGAAGTTTAAACACACCATAATCATTTATATATAATGAATTAGTACAATATTTTACACTTTATACATTGCATGGTAAGATACATGAGTGACTTAGTACCACATAGAGTTCCTAAGAGGTTCAAAATTTTCACTATCTTCATCATCTCCATGTGTAGAGTAAGTGTATTTTAGCATATTTTCCCAAAAACATAAATGATATGGTGGTCAAGGTGTTGAAGGAGTAAAATGGGAGGGGTTCGAATCCCTTGGTGTTTTTTTAAATATAGAAATTTATCCTAGATAATAAATATTAGCTTGCAAGCCTTGCAGACATCTTAACGACCATATAAATATTACAGACTGAATATGTAATCACAAACACATCTGTAGCGAGTTGGATAAGGCCCAGGTGCGTGGTTGACAAAGGGAGGGGTTCAAATCCCTCTATGCTCAAGATTGAGACTTTTCAGCATTTTTCAAGTATTTTTGGGTTTCGTCTCGCGATATTATCGATAATGTTCTAAAAAACGCTAGGCGCTAGTTGGGCGGCGAGCTGGGGCCTAGCACCTAGGCGGATTTACGTAAAATTACTATATATGTTATAAAATATGAGTATATTTGTAATATTTTAGGGTTTTTTATGTTGATTTTGTATCATTTACTCAGTTTACATATTTAATTCATTATTGGACTTTGCTTTTTTTTTTATTCAAATATTGGTCTTTGCCCTTCAATTAATAACAGCCTTGTTTTCTTATAAAAAAATAAATTTATTCTCTAATGCTACAGACGAGGCAAAGAAAAGCATTGTTTCCTTGTTTCTACAGATCTCTACCCACTTTTTTTTTTTTTATGGACAAAGGTAATTTATTACCACCAAAGCACACAATATACAACAAAAAACAGAGGCCCAATACAAATAAAGCACAAAACTAAAATATGGACCTTAAAACAAAAACCCAACCCATTAAGCCTAAAACAAAAACACAAAAACAAAAAAACCCTAGCAACTTTGAAGCCTTCAGATCCGCCGACCTTGAATGAACACCTCTTGCAGCCACCAAAACATCAACCAAACGAAGCCTCCTAGACGGAAAAGAAGAAGGTTCCACCCTCCACCAAACCGCAAAATTCAAACCCACAGCTTAATATCTTATCAGCCGGTGACCCTTTACACACAAACCCAGAAAATCTCTCTTTCTCTCTCTCTCTCTCTCTCTCTTTAGTTTTTCCAGAAACCTCTAGCAAGGCTAGATTCAGATGCAGACGCAAGTCGCGATGCAGGTGCAGCTGCGAGTTTGATGCAGGTGCAGCTCTCTCTCTAGTTTTACCAGAAACCTCTATCAAGGCCAGATTCAGATGCAGACGCAAGTTGCGATGCAGGTCGTCGCCATCGCCGTCGGTGGTCAGGTCAACTCCCGGTCCCTCACCTTTTTACCTCTTCGATTGATTCATGCATATGAATTGTGGTTGTGTTTTCAATCGCTCTGTAGCTTAGATCTTGATCTTAATCGTGTTTTTGCAAGGTTTTTGGGACGAAATCGGCACACCCATTTCCGGCGTTCTTCTCTGATTCGCACGTATCCAAAATATCGCGATAATTTCGGAAATATCGCGATATTATCGATAATATCGCGATATTTTTCCGAAAACCCGTCGGATACCTATTAAAATATCGGACCCGTGAAAAACCGATAATATCGGCGAAATATCGCCGATATTATCAGCATTTTGTTCCTTGGTTGTTCCAATGTTACCTGTACTATTTTCTTTAAAAATTGATGTAAAAATGTTTCAATGACAAAATCATTTTTACGATTTTTCTAGCATTAAAAAAATCGTGAGAGCCAATTAAGTTAATTTAAAAAGAATCCTTTTTTTTTTAAATATTGAAGAAAAAACTAACATTAAATCATGAAAGTAGGATCTTGATCAATGACAAAATTATAAGCTTAGCTAACATTAGCTAGGAGTCACTACCTTTAGTCCATTAGTCAATAAATAATCAAGATTAGAGAATGATGTTAATCACTAACAATTTTTAACCAAGCGTTATAGCCTTGCCTTCCCTTTTATATTTCTATTTATATTTATGAGGGATAGTCATGGCCTAAATAGATGTTGTTCATCAACAACTTCTTAACCTAGTAATGCTTCCTTTCCCATTGTTGAGAGAGTTACCAAATTCAAATCCCCTTAATCCGTTGGAGATCGAAACTTACATATAATAAGGATGATGATTACGGTGGATCTCTTAAGCTAATCATGCACTATTGTGAATTTTAATTTTTCTACATAAAAGTATATAACTAACTTGGATATACCGCTAATAGACGTACGACATTCTTATTTCATGGTAGTATTTTTACCCTTGTTAAAAAGGAGAGTTAATTTAACCATCACAGGATGACCTAGTGGTTCGAAACAAATTTCAAGTCGATATTTCACATGGTACGTTTTGAGTTCGATTCCTAACGTTGGTGAATCACACGATGGTGGCTAGTAGGGCTGGTTCTGTATGGGATCTCAAACCAAAAATGGGATCCCAAATCCCAAACCGATTTTTTTCGGGACAAAGTTTTGAAAACCAAAACCGAACTGAAATAAAGGTATTCCTGAAGTTCGGGATTTCGGTATGGTTCGGGATTCATCGACCTCCCAATTTCCCTACCAGCCTACACAGCCACACCTCATCTTAGATTCGTCGACCTTCCCACTCCTATCTTCATCCCTCTCATTCCTGGGCTTGTCTTTGCTGCCTTTGGGAGTCGGAGGGCTTTGCGAAGTGCATCGAACAGAATCAGGTATCGACCATTGTCGATGTGTGAGCTTTTCCATGTCTTGCCAAACGAAATCGCCATCAGAGGGCTACTCTACTTTGTAGGCTTAAGCGATGGATTTGATGTCTTGGAAGAACGATTGGGTTTCTCAGACGAATGTTGCAATGGGTATGGCGTTTTGGGAAGAGCAGGTTGCGGGTGTGGCTGCTTTTGAAGATTGAGAAAGCATTTGGAGGCCTTGAGCTTGCTTTTGCGTTTGAGGGAGTCGGTGGAGGGAGAGAAAATGTGTGGTTGTTTGTTGGATGAGAGTGCGAGTTATCAAGAAACAAAATAAAGAAGAAAGGTTCGTGAAGATGGCAGACAATAAGTCATGAGATAAAGAAAGAATAAAAAAAGGAAAAGACAGTGAAGAAAGGTTATCGAGCAAATGAATGGTTGATTAAAGTTATCGGGCAGAGGAATGGTTGATTAAATAATATATATGTATAATCGGTTTGGATTCCCAAAGGTTATTGGGCAGAGGAATGGTTAATTAAATAATATATGTGTGTGTGTGTGTATATATATATTTATATCTATTTATATATATATCGGTTTGGAATTCCCGAACAAAGAAAAATATGACACCGATTCCCGTACCGAACGGTTCCGGATCGGTTTGGGATTGGTATCAAAATTTTCAGGAATTTCGGTTCGGTATTTTTTCGGTTTGGGATCAGGATTTTTTCGGTATAGTTCGAAATTTTTGGGATTTTTTTTCAGCTCTAGTGGTTAGAGAGGTTGAAACACCTATATGAATCTTCGGATCCTGAAAAAATAGACTAACATGACGAAAGCAATCAACCTCTTCTTTGAATATCAATACTGCAGAATATTAGTACGGAACGCCGTGTCGTTTAACCAGTGACATACGGCTTGTTCTTCGGGACAAAAGCAAACTGCAGAATCCAACAAACATTTTATGTCACTGCTGACCTTGATCAGGTGGATCTACCACATGAATTCATCACCTTCTTCTTCGAATGCCAATACTGTCCCCGCGACTGCGACTGCGACTTGTTTATCATCTTCTCTGTAACTTTTTAATGTACCAGAAAATAAAACGAAAAACCAACTCCGCCTGCAAAGCAATCCGATTCCAATACCTCTCTCTCTCCCTCCCGTCCGTGATGCCCAGAACCCTAACCCTCCCCCGCTTCTCGGCCCTCCTCTTAATCCTCTCCGTTTTCCTCAACCTCTACTTCCTCTTCTTCTTCCTCCACGCGCCGCCCACCGTTCTCTCCCGCTACACTCCCTCTCCCACCACGCGCCGCCACCTTGTATTTGCCATCGCTTCCTCCTCCCGCTCCTGGTCCCGCCGCGAGCCTTACCTCCGCCTCTGGAGCTCCCCCGCCTCCACCCGCGTCTTCGCTTTCCTCGACCGCGCCCCAACTGATTCCTCCGGCGACCGATCCGTCGCGACTGTCGTCGTCTCCGGCGACACCTCCCGCTTTCCGTACACTCTAAAAGGAGGGCTGCGGTCCGCGATCCGTGTGGCGCGCGCGGTCAAGGAAGTAGTCGATCGTGGCGAGCCGGATGTGAGGTGGTTCGTGTTCGGCGACGACGATACGGTGTTCTTCGTCGAGAATCTGGTGAGGACGCTGTCGAAGTACGATCACGATCGGTGGTTTTACGTCGGGAGCAACTCGGAGAGCTACCTGCAGAATGCCAAGTACTCGTTCGAAATGGCGTTCGGGGGCGGAGGGTTCGCCATAAGCCATTCGCTGGCTACGGCTCTGGCTAGGGTGTTCGACTCGTGCTTGATGAGGTACGGTCACTTGTACGGAAGCGATGCTCGGGTTTTCGCTTGCGTGGCGGAGCTCGGCGTTGGGTTGACCCATGAGCCTGGGTTTCATCAGGTTTGTTGAATTAAATTAATTTTATGTGAAAAATCAGGAAAAGTAATTAGCTTGATAAGACTTCAACGATTTATGCATGGATTATCGGAAAAAGTAATGAACTTTATAAGATTTTGATGATACGATGCAGAAATTTGGTTTTGTTAGGAAGGAAGCTTAGGAAAGTAATTGCTTTATAGAGTTTGATGAACTGAGTGTGTTTGATGAAAGCTTTGTCAACTGTTAGTAGGTTCAAGGCCGAAGGGACGGCTTCGGCTCTGTTCTATAACTCGCCTTTAGGTGGGGAGGCTCGTTCGTAGGTATCACTTAATTTTATAGGGAGCTGCAGAATGGGAGGTTACTTCTGGTACAATCTCTGTTTTCTGTGCTATGCTGAATGTGGTGTGGGGTGGGGGGCGAATAGGAATAAATAACAGTGCTTTGGCTCATAGGCCTTTGCGAAGAAACAGAATGCCTGAACATTTGAACATTAGTTAGTTGAAACAAGTTACGTCTATACCACATTTTCTGCTCCTCTGTTTCGTTACGTTTTTACTTTGGATATGATGCAATCACAATGCTGGCCTGATTTTCTAGTTTATAGTGTACTTTTATGTGCACGGCCGTTTTATAGTGTATTTTCAGTTTAATTTTTTGAAAACTGAAAGTAGATACCAAACAAGATTTCAGTTTTCAGTTTTCGAAAAAATGAAAACAAAAACTGAAAACTGAAAACGAAATGGTTATCAAATGGCCGTAAGTGAACGATTCAGTTGTTGATAGGTTGAATTTCTGATTGAGTTATGTTGGATTTCATTTAATGATAACGAAAGTTTTCATATCATGATGTAGTTTTGATTGGTCTCCTATCATCTGTTGATTCCAATGTGAGCTTGTTAGCAAAGAGTCTTGTTGTGGACTTGTGTCAAGTTATGTGCTGAATCGAAGGGCACTCATTATCGTCATAATTTTTAATCAGGTTGATATGCGGGGGAATTTGTTTGGAATGCTATCTGCACACCCGTTGTCACCTCTGGTGTCCCTTCACCATTTGGAGGCTGCAGATCCAATCTTCCCAAACATGAACAAGACTCAAGCTTTGGAACATCTTTTTGAAGCTGTGAATGTTGATCCTGCCAGGATATTGCAGCAAACTGTTTGCTATGACAGTTTGCATTCGTTGACTGTTTCTGTTGCATGGGGCTATGCTATTCAGGTGTATGCTGGCAATGAACTTCTCTCAGATCTCCTTTCACTGCAGAAAACGTTTATGCCATGGAGGAGGAGCGGTAGTATCGAGGCAAGTCAGTTCATGTTCAATATGAGAGATTATCCTAGAGATAAATGTAAAAGACCAACTGTCTTTTTCCTGGAAAGTGTTGTATCCAATAGTCATGGTAGCTCGAGTAACTACACCAGGCTCAATGTAGAAAATTGCTCCAAAGAAAATGCAATAAAGAATCTGGAACAGATCAGAGTGTTCTCACAGAAGCTAGAGCTTGATGCGGAAGAGGTATTTGCTTCACTAATATAGATGTAGCTGATTTATAACTTATACCTTCTCTCTTATATTTTCTTTTGTCTTTCGTTTTAGTCAATGCCATTAATCAACTACTGTCCACTTGTTATAATTCAGATGAAGGCTCAACGCCGTCAGTGCTGCGAAATTTTGTCGTCGTTTGATGACTCCATGACTATAACCATTAGACGGTGCAGAGACAATGAGTTGATATCCATGAATATCTAGAGTTTTCTGTTGGAATAGTTGCTCTGAGGATACTTAGATGCAGAATTCAGAGAATCACACGCAGTTTGGTGCACTCATCATCTTATCAAGGTAAATTGTGATGTCATTTCTTGTTCTTATATTATGTTTGAAAAGTGCTTAGGGAAAACTGTCCACCCCGCATTGCAATCCATTCATTAAGTTGATTTATATCTTTAAGTAGTTGAAATAATGGAAAATCTGAGTTTTCCTCATTTTGTCTCTTCATTTTTCTGCTATTAAGTTCACTTGTTAGTAAGAATGCTTCAGGTTCCTAAATTTTATTATTGGGAAATGGATCTACAAGTGGTCTGTTCTACGTGATATTATCGGATGTGATCTGCACTTCATAAAGCTCAAGTTCCTTTTCTTCTTGACAGGAGGAGCAGGAAGAAGAGAATATACTTGGAGATGGGCTATTTATCTTCTGATCTAAACATGGAGCAAAAATAATGCTTTTGGAACGATTTACTTGAAAACAATAAATCACAAGAAAAAGATTGCAGAAAGCGGAAGTTACTGCAAAAATCTGCCACCAGTTAAGGTTTCGATGTCTGATACTCTCTTGGTTAAACTCACCAGTCGCTTATTATTTGAAAATATGATGAACAGACAAAAAGGGAGGACAACGCCATTCACACGTCCGCCAGTGGAGATGACCTGAGTAAATTGGATATCCGGAGGAACGAACGGTAACTAGTGAACTGATAGGTATGTAATGTATTCATGCTGTAGAGTAACTTGCGTTTTGAGACATCAAATGATGTGGAAGAGCTTCGATTGGTTGGTAAGCATGCGAAGGAAATATTGTTGAAATGCTAGCTGCGTTTACATTCCTGCATTTAGCATGTTTTGCTGATGCCATAGATGATAAATTGTATAGGGTCTGGTTTTGTAATTTTCAAGCGTGGTGAATGCCGTACTTGGTTTCTTGCCAACCATCCATTGTCTTCCTCCTCCTTGGCCTAAACCATTGAAGTCTATTGCATTTGCATCCTCTGAATCTTCCAGTAACCCAGATGTTTAGATTTAAAATTTAATTATGTAGGTCCAGCATCGATGGTGTCATACATCTGATTTTCAGGATCAAATCAAATTGGTACAACGCACTACTTAGTTGCTTACTTTGTCATACTTTTCGTAATTAAATTAGCATAATGTATCGGGTTTATGCATTTTGATTAGATGTATCTTAATCTTGAAATAAGCAATTATTCAAGAGATTTTTCTTAAATGATTGTAACTCAAGTGATTAAGAGCGGATGCCATGCACATGAAGTCCTTTTTATTCGTTTTTACACCCTCAGTATTGTTTGTTTAAAGACATTTACCTAGTTGTTTTTTCACGAGCAAATGGATTGTAACGCAAGTGATTTAAGATCAAATCCGATGCACCTGAACATAAGTTACATGGATGCCTCACGAAACCTCAAATTGTAAGTAATCGTTTCCTTGGATTTTTCAATAAAATGCATACAACGTTGTTGGTTTATTCTTCCAAGAAAAACAACAACATAATTAGGAACCTCGAACTTTGCTTTACGTAACACTTCCACACTTTTATTTTTGCTAAGCCCGTTAAAAGTATTTTTTTTAAAGAAAAACTAATGAAAAATAATTGAAAATTTTGAGTTTTAACGATAAGGATAAAATAAAAGGTAAAGTGAATAATATTATGATTGACTTTTTAGTGTAAAAATGTGATTTTTCGTTAAAGTAAACAGTACCATAAACTTTTTGTTAAAGTTCTTTTTTTTTAATCTTTTTTTAACTTGCAGCTGAAGTTTGCTTGCTCTTTCACGTTCTGCATTTTCCTTTACCAAAACCACGCATAATTAATATTAATTAATTAATCTCTTATAATCTCCAAAGGCCACGTCCTAATACATTTCCAACACCATTTTTAACGCCTAACCTCTCTTCCTTATCTCTCACACTTTCAGTCAATGCCATTGCTGTCAAGGACCTGACCTTTGACTCTAACCTAACGTACGCACCCAGCCGCTTGGTTGGCTGCCCGATTTACATTAGGTTGGCAGGAAAATGGAGGACTTTCTGTGTGAACCATGACTTCTTTTGGAATTTTAACCAACTAAATACACTTTTGTGCAGAATTGCAGGTCAAATTTTACATCTTTCTTTTCCCGCAGATTGCGCTTCTTGATCAGCATCTTGGTTTTATGTCCCACACTTGTATTTTCTAGATTCATTTTCTGCATTTCTGTTTTGTTTGCTTGTTCTTCTTCCTTTCCACTTAAAATGCTGCCGTTTCCTCAGTCGCCTTCGAAACCCCAAAGTCCGTCTCGGTTGATAAACTTCTTCATAGTCTCATCTTCTTTATGCACGCTCTTCCTTCTTGGGTCGCTCTTCCTTGTGTTTACGAGCTCAAAGCTTGGACGTATAAGTTCTCTGTCTCAAGATGCGTATTCCCCGCCCTCGACCTCCCTTGAGCACGTTGTGTTCGGGATTGCTTCGAATCAGAAAGCGTGGTCTGCTAAGAGGAAGGAGTATGTACGGCTCTGGTGGAGGAACCAGTCTATGAGGGGATGTGTCTTTCTCGATAGCCTTCCGCCTGATCATCAGCGTCACGTCCATGACACTTCTCTTCCTCCTGCGTGCATCTCGGGTGACACTGCAAGATTTCGTTACACTTACAGAGGCGGTCTCAAGTCTGCTATTCGTGTTGCACGCGTTGTTTCTGAGACCGTGGCGCTCAACCATACGAATGTGAGGTGGTATGTTTTCGGAGATGATGACACAGTTTTTTTCCCTGAGAATTTGGTGAAGACACTTTCTAAGTATGATCATGGACTGTGGTACTACATTGGGACAAACTCCGAAGTTTATGAGCAAAATAGGGTGTTCGGATTTGGAATGGCTTATGGTGGTGCAGGTTTCGCTATAAGTGCCCCATTGGCGAAAGTACTGGCGAAGGTGTTTGATTCGTGTTTAGAACGATATCCACATCTCTATGGAAGCGACTCTAGGATTTCCTCTTGCTTGGCAGAACTCGGCGTTGGATTAACAAGCGAAGCCGGTTTCCATCAGGTACCCTTTCTTAGCTCATCAAATTGTATGTGACATTCACATTTTAGTAGTTTAAATTGAAATTTCAGCGTGCTTTTTTCTTAGTTCATATATCAAAGAAATAAATTTGTGGTTCTGGGCTGTTAAAATTGAACCAGAATGACATTCACGGCGATATGTTTGGCCTACTGGCTTCGCATCCGGTGACGCCTTTGGTATCCCTGCATCACTTCGATCATGCAAACCCTGTCTTCCCCAACATGACAACTATCAATGCTCTAAAACATTTGTTTAAAGCTGCGAATGTTGATTCTCAAAGAATGTTACAGAAAACAGTGTGCTACGACAGATGGTTTTCGTGGACTATCACGGTGTCATGGGGTTACGCTGTTCAAGTATACGGAAATCATATTCTTCTGCCGGACGTCCTCCCCGTGCAGCAGACATTCAGCCAGTGGAAAAAGGGAAGTGTTTTGTCAGGAGTTTATACTTTTGACACAAGAGAACATCACAAGGATCCGTGTCGAAGGCCGGTTGTTTTCTTTCTGGATAATGTGTCTTCTGGTGCGGATGGAATCAAGAGCATATACAAAAAGTCCTACGAAAATTGCTCCTACGACATGGCTTCGCCGAGGAAGCTGGAGGAGGTCAGAGTGTACTCACATAAGCTGGACCTTGATATGAAACAGGTATTGCTTTCGATCACTTGAGCATTGTTATACTTCTTCATGAAACTTATACAATACTAAATCCACTTTTTTGTGAATTAATCAGTTGCAGGCGCCGCGAAGGCAATGTTGCGATGTATTACCTTCTACGGGCAGCAAATTGATGGAAATCGAAATCAGAGAATGCAAAGAAGAAGAACTAATACGCATGCATCCGTAGCGGTGTTTCATATTGCATATAGCCAGATTATACAACATTATATCATACAGATCATGTAATTGGTATATCATGCTATCTAGCTAGCTAGAAGGCATTACACAGAATTATTAGTTTACTGTTACTCATTTTTTGTTATACAAAAATGTAGATCCTAGAAGAAACTTGGGAAATTATGTATACTTACTTTGATTTGATTTTTATTGATTAGTATATGCTGTGAACTTGCTTAAATTGTGAAACCAGAAATACTAAAATCATTTTCGATAAACTCCTTATAACCTCTTGTAACGTTTTTTCTTTCACCAATGTGAAATTTTTTTATCTTCACATCATCACAAAAACAACCACTAAATATGGCAAGGAGAACAAATCAACAATATTCATTGCTTGACATGCATGTTGCAGGCCAATGGAAGCCACGGTTTGTTTTTTTTTGTTTTGTTTTTTTGAAAGCTAGCCACAGTTTGTTTACACCAAACTATTAGCATTCATCACTGAATCTTTTCTTTTGTGGTTTACTGAGATTTTTACATAGCATCTACAAATACAGTTCTTGTGTCCGACTGTCCCCATTGTTTGAAATCTTGTTTACCAAACCAAAATGTGGGGAACCTTTTGTTTTTGGTAAACCAAACCAGAATTTGGTGACGCCGTAACTTTCATGTTCTTCCATTGGCTGTTGAAATTTTGTATTAGAATATGTGGGCATCTTTCGTTTTCAGGAGTAGTAAATTCATACATTCTGTTTTCAGGAGTAATTTTTTAATATATTTAAGATATGATCATGTGACGTTATTATTGTACAGAAATATAATACACAAATTTATTTTGTTAATATACTTTAAAATAAGACATATAAATTATGTTGTTTATTCTCATTATAACATGTAAAAATTTGTTACAATCTCTTCGTATTTTGCATGATGGGTCTCATTGAAGCTCTATCCTCGTAATTCTCATGGATGTGTTTTTTTCTTGAAAGAGAATATCAGGGTGTTTGGTTTGATTAGTTGTTCAAACATTTGGAAATGAAACGCGTCACTTTCTCATTTAACCTCTTCATGGAAAGCTTCATATCTTATTTAACATTCTGCTGGGAAAGTGGCTCAGCCAAACAAACCAAAAAAAGTCCAACCAAAAGTTTTTGGTTGGTAAAATTTACGACCAAACGCATTGAAGCTGAGACGCCTCGCGTCTGAAGGAAGTAAACGGTACGTATTTCAGCTTATTCGAAAAATATGGTTTTTGGGTAACTAATTGGAATACTTTCATTTCAGAAGTTCAATTATAGACTCAAAAGCCTTTATTGTTGAGCTGATAAAACGGATTAGTGATGCCATCATTATTGTGCTCAGAAATCAGTGGGCAAAATATGTTGACTTGGCTAAAATAGACCATTCTTTTTCCGTAAGATTCGAAAACCTAATCCAACAAGAAATAAGGAGGTTTCCTCATGGATTCTCCTGGTTTAATACGGACTTTACTTTCCTAAAAGGTCATCTTCTTGACTGGTCTAAATACATCATTCTAGGGTTTATCTCTGATAACGCAATCTATGCATACTTATTCCCTTGCCTACTGTTTGGGTCTTAAAATTGTTTACTAACTTGACCGTCAGAAAGCCTTTGAGTGGCACACAATCACCCTCCGGCCCGCATCCTTGGCTTGCTTAGGGCTATTTGTTCTTTTACAAGTTAATGAGTTTGGTCATCTACACCACAAGAGACGGTGGACCAATTTGATTCCAACACTCTTCTCTCCTCTTTCTCCCTCTCATGCTACCCAATTCAGTTTAAGTTTTAAGATTTAAAATTGTTTAAATCTCATACCAAACAAGTTTTTAAGTCTTAAAGAAAATTATTTTCAAAACATGTTCTTAAGAAATATTTTGAGAAGTAATGAAATTTTTTTAATAGAATACCAAACCTGCTCTAAGAGACTCAAAAGTGATTAGTACTTTCGACCAAAAAACATGTTCAGTACGATTGAACTTAGATTCAATTAATCCTCAAGATGATTGGTATTTTCTTCGATTCACCACAAGCCATATTGTATTTTTTTTGTTGTATGTTTTTCCTTGTACCTTTTTTCTAATAAATTTTGGTAAGTAAGGGTGTTTTTGGCCCTTGACTATGCTAGATTAAAACAAAAAAAATCCTCAAAACAAGAGCGCAATGCATGTGTGCGCGTTGTTTGGGTTAATATTTAAGATTGGACTTTATGAAATGAGGCTCAAGGGTGTCACAGCAAAATGGGGACTTGCCCGAAGCCCAATAAAGAGGCCTGAAGCAAACTGAAGCCTTTTTAGCCAAGGCATAGGCCATATGTCTAGGGATGAAGTGATAGATGACAGAGACCAACTCACCACCAGCCAAAAAGCATTTTCTAGTGGCATTACAAGTAAATAGATGATGACTCACTACCCTCTGAGAGCCCTCGGCTAAGAGTAAAGCTAAATCAGTCGAGCCAAATCGTCTATAAAAGGAGAAAGAGACACCAGAGGTAAGGACACTCAAACAACCAATCAATCAACATTCAAACTCTGCTTTCAAGCCAGTTCATACCCAGAAAGCTGAAAGTTGTCCAGATTCAGTCCTTTTTAGCTATATTCCCCTTAGAAAAGCCATCTTTTGTCTAGTATAAAAGCTCTGCTACATTCCCTCAGTGTTGTAGTATCGATTCCCTTGTGTAAAACCCATTTACCATCCATCCTTTTTAGCATATAACCTTTGTAAACCCAAAGAGAAGTGGTTGCAAGAAGTTCAACTTTACCCAACAAGGTTAAATCTTGCTCAAGTCTCTTTGTTTGTACTTTAATTTAGTAGATCTGTCGCTTAATGTATTTTTCAGTATGTATTTAATTTGTTTCCAACTATTTTCTAATTAGGAGCCCCATTTGCATTCGAATATGGTTAAGTTAATGGATCTACCTTCATTAAAGTGAACTGTAATCGAGGAAATAGTATTAAAGGGGCTTGAACTCCCTTTGTTTTGGACGTACTAGATTATGAACTAAAAGTCCTTATTTACAAGGAAAGAAAAAGAACTTAATGCAGACTTAACCCATTTGTGACAATCCTTTGATAACAAGAAGTTTGAGTAACTTGGGGCGCAAGTAATCAACTTAAATCACATTTGTTATACTGAGATAACAATGGCGTGCCTAGCACTTTGTTAGTTTTGATTACGAGTCTCAAGGCCTACAGCTAAGGCCCCACAAAGGCACCTTTCAAACTAACTAAAAACTTATATTGCAGCACACCAAACAACAAGTGCAAGTGTCACATCCCGACCCGGACTTCACCACATCTCGGGCCTCGCCTCCGTCGTAGCACGATATTGTCCACTTTAGGACCCGATCACGCCCTCACGGTTTTGTTTCTGGAAACTCACGTGAGCAACACTTCCTAGTAAGTCACCCATCCTGGGATTACTCTGGCCCATTCTCGCTTAACTTCGGAGTTCCTAGGGAACCCGAAGCCAATGAGCTTCCAAAATGTCTCGTGCTATATGGAGGTGAGCATGTACATATAAGGCATAGAGGATCCACTCCCCTGGGCAGTGTGAGATCTAACAACAAGCCCGACAACACATCAAGTGCCAAACCCCTGGGGAGCTGTGTGAGGGAAATCTTACCCTGAACATGCGCTTTAATCAGGGGTGGAACAAGGATGATTCTGGAACTCACAGAAGATCGGAAACAACGTCTGAAAATGGTTTCGAGGGCCCATGAATTTTCACTAAGTGTTTGATAAAATGTCCTAAGGCGTTGCCAACACTCACCAACTCGTGTTGACAGAAATGAGTACGTACTTCTTGCAGTTTTGTATCTATTTTTCAACTTGGTTGCTTAGTTAAAGGATGGTCATGTACGGCTTGTTTACTTTTGACTCTTTCATGGTGTGCGTGGATTTTTTGTTTGGATTTACTTTGATCTTCAAAGGAACAATGATATTAAAATTATGCAGAAGTGAAGAACTACACATAATCAGATTCTAAAAGCTACATATGTATATATAATCTTTCTTTCACCATTTTTAAATTAAGTACTTTCTTTAAATTAAAACTATTTAATGGTTTTTTTTTTAGATATAAATTATTTCGCCGACAAAAACGTGCCGGTACTGGTCAATGAATGTACTGTATGTATTCTACTTAGAATGTTGCAGGGGACACATTTATTTAGCATTCATCACATAATCTTTGGTATTTCATTTCCTGAAAATTTTTCTGCTTCTAATCCTTTTTATCATCTTATAAAATGCAATTCCTCGCATTATATTTATACGCTTCTTATTTTCTCTTTATTTCATGCTTTCTTCAAATTTACTATCCCGCAAAAGCGCAAAAGATCGACCAGTTTTCGAGCGGTAATACCACTGGCAATTACACTTCCGGGAGTGTCTATGAGCAAAACCTAAATATTACCCTCACTTTCCTTGTTGCCAATGCATTTCAAACAGGATTTTACGTCACAAGCATGGGTCAGATCAATGATGTGGTTTATGGCCTTGTTCAATGCCGCGGTGATCTCTCTAAAATTGATTGCCAAGCTTGAGCAAATAAAACAGCAACTGAGATCAGGCAGTTTTGCCAGAAGCAGGCTTCGGTTGGCTACATAAATTGCTCGTTCGACCTGCGTTTCTTCTCTACTTAGACAGTTTCCCAAGGGGGAACTTATAGGACGTCCATACAGCAACTGACCCCGTTCTTTGCAAACGTCAGGTAGGCAACTTAGTTAAGAACCTATCATACAAGCTGCTTCCGATCCTTCAAAATCGCAATAGGGGTCACCAGTTACACGGATTTCAACGATATATATGGCATGACTCAGTGCACCCAAGACCTAGCAGAAAATAGCTGCTTAATTTGCCTGCAGGAGATTGCCAGTTATGTGTCGGAGTGCTGTGATGGATTTGTTGGGATTACACTAATTTCTAAGAGCTGTTATCTCCGGTATGAGATGTATTCGTTTTTCCAGTCACCATTACAACATCCACCACCTGCAGCGGCATCTTCTCTATTTCCTTCATTGCTTGAGTCTAACTCAAGTACTACTAGCGGCACTAATAAGACTAGTCCTGGTAAAATTTTAGGTTCTTTTGATGCATTCAAAAGCTTCCTGCATGCTCATGTAAAATCTACAAGATGGTACTCCAACGGGAAATGATTTCTTTACATTCTTTTTCTCATTATGCACGTACACCTTGTTTATTCGATTCAAGTGCCAGAAATAAGCAAGTGTGTACATTGGAAAAAAGTGGAAAT